GCCTTAACAGCAAAAACTACCTGCGAGCTCTGTGGCCCTCACACCTGGCAGCTCCAGGCAGCTCTACCTGTCCCTGCCAGGCCTGACTCACCTGCCACAGCAGTGACACACTTGCAGCCTGAGCACGTAGTTAATGACAGTACCTCATGCCCCAGTTCCCTGGGTAGGTGAGGAGGGTGTCCTTGTTTGGCTTAAGCTACTTACGCAATTCAAGTGGCAAATCTATAAATAAAAGCTAATTTCAGACCAGACTGATGGCTTATTTATGCTGGTATCATCCCCTTCCCAGAAAAACGTGGATGATTTTGTACTGGAAGTGCTGACATGTCTGCCCCTCAGGCTGGGAACAGTGTTTGTATCCTCTTGCTGGAGCTGATGCTCTCAGGAGACTGCCGAGGTCCCTCTCCCATGTGCTTTTTGTGGCAGCACTAAGCAGAGCCTGTGAGCCCCAGCAGCAATGCTTTGAGTGCTGCAGGGGTTGTTAAGCCAACAGAAAGCAATCCCTGCCTTTCCCCAAAGTGGCAACATCCCCTTGTGCTGAATCTGTTCCATCTGTTCACTCACTCTGTGCATGGTCTGGGTCAAACCACGGCTGACCCATCTCCAGCACTGCTGGGAGCCGGCCCTGTCCCAGGGTGGGCTTCAGCACTCTGTCTGTAATAGACCCAGGAGCAGGACTGTCACAAACATAAGACTCCCTTACAATTTCTACTCAGAAACCTGTCAGTAAAGTGCATGAGGACCGCAGCTTGGGTTTGCTAAACTTGATGGTCTTATTACTTAATACAGTCTTGTAATCCCTGCTGCCTTGCACCACACCTGTTAGCGCTGTCTGCCGTGGATGCCAGGAGCGATGTGGCATGCTAACAAACCTCTCCTATTGCTTTTCCTTTTCCTTTCCCTCCTCTGCTGGTCTTTGCCAGGATCTTCATTTGGCAGTTTAACCAGTAATTTCCTCTGCTAGGGACTGAAATCATCCTTCTCCTTGTAGCCTGCCATGTGGTTTGAGTCTTTTCCCACGTTACAGCAGCAGGCAGTGTGATGTTGGGACAATGTGGTAGAGTGAGTGAGGGAAGAGATGAACAGGGAAAGCTGTAGAACCTGCAAACAAAAAGGTCATCATTCCAGGCCATGGGATGCCTGCTGCAAGGGAGCTCACACAGGTTGGGAGTCCTCACCTGGTTCAGCTTGTGCTTTCCACTGTTAAGCTACCTCTGGTACCTCTAGCTTGTGCACTTCAGTGTTTCTGCAGGGTGGGATCAGCCAAGGGCTGCTCATCCCAGCAGTTCTCAGAGGAGAATGTCTCACCCAGTGCAAACACCTGCAGGCAGAGCCTGGAGTAGCTCTGAGTGGATGCTCTGTGCAAAGTGTGCAACAGCTCCTTACACCTCGCCTGGTTCACTGCAGCTCATTTCCTGTGGGGTCCCCTGCTACACACCACGGTAGAAGGAGACTGGGAATACAAGAACCTGATTTCCAATAAACAGCTGCTGTGTGGCTGGATCCCTGTAAAACATGGAGCCCTAGAGGGATAATAGCCCAAAAGGCTGCATTCTCTCTGACTTATGCTGCTTTGCTTTTACAGAGCACAGTCAAAAAAGCCCTTACTAGACACCCTCACATTCCCTGGGAGTCCTCCTCATGCTTGGCTCTGAAAGCACTTCCCTGACAGCTGCTACCCTGCCTGCTTAGGGGAATGGTTTTAGTCATGTTTTTTGCTCTGTATTTATGTATTTATTATTCCCAAGACACCGATCTGTACCAGCCCCTTCAAAGGCTGCAGTGCTGAGGAGCTGAGCCCCATAGAACTGAACATTCAGGTGGTAAAAGAGAGGAGATGAATACAGAAAAGCCCAATAGACTTGAACGAAGTAAGAGACTTGTGTAGGTTCATTTGAGCAAGAGATGTGTAACTGCCCTTAAGAAATAATTGTTAAGGAGAAAGAGAGACGGGAATGGGAAGACTTAAAGAACCTGAAATCATTTAGGATGCTAAAATTAATGAGTTTCTGCTTTGGTGCTCATCCTAGCACCCTGAAGAACAATCTTGTATCTCAGTTTTCTATTTAATTAGTGTACTGTCTCCATACAAATGATGGAAATCTATTGAAGTGGGAGCAGCACAAGATGCCCTTTCCATCCATCTCCTTTTGAGAAGAAGATAGGAGCGTGTGAGTGCTTCCAAGCAGGGAATGGATTAGATACTTCCCTTGCTGAGCTCTGTGGGATGCTGCAGCAGGGCAGGATGTGCTGCCTGCAGTCACCCAGACAGGAGATGCACAATGTCCATGGGGGAGGCAGTGACCCAGACCTGCAGCTGCACTGGTGGGATTGGGGCTTTTGGTAGCAGAGGTCCACGTTGTGTTACCCACTGCTGCCAGTAGCAAGGTTTTGGAGTAAAGAATGGGGTATTTATTGAAAGAGATTGTCTGTCTTTGGCACAGGGACAAGAACTATGTTTTATTAAGTAATGGTAGTACAGTACAAAAATATGATTCTATACAATCTGTGAAAAATATGGCACCTTTGAAAATAGCTTTTTCTCCTTTCATATGTTCCTTTCTTTTTAAAAATAGACACTGTAAATGCTTCTAACCTTTTGTCCACCACTATTAGGAAACCAAGGTCTTTAAATCACAGTTAAGATAAATGGCAACCAACAGTGTAATTTGAATTGTCTTTGATTTTCTTTAAAATTAAAGATCTTAGAAGAGGCAGAAGAATAAGAAAAAACATTTAAAAAAGTGTGAGGAAAACAAAACAAAAAATGTTCCTGTTTAGAGGCTGTGAGAATATTCAGCATTTGAAATTGTTTGATGTTTTTAGGAGCAAAGTCCCCAAGCCCTGACCAGCAAAGGCCTCTAGGACAGGAGAATTAGGGCACTACCAGAGCCACAGAGCAGCTGTTCACAGGCAGCTGGTGCTTGGCCAGGGTCAAGACCAAGCCCTGCAATCTGCAGCAGCCCATGTGCTCACTGCTCTGCCCTGGACCCTGTTCAGCACCTCTCTGATTTCCATGGTACCGTGATCCCAGATGGAAAGCCACTTTAATCAGGAATTAAAGTGGAAAAAAAACCTCTTCTAAGTGATCAAAAAATAGTAAGTAAGTTTATCCAGCCTTTTTTTTTTTTTTTTATTCTCAACAGTTATATTTATGTATAAGGAAAAAGAATTCCTGCTCATGAAGTGATAAACTTCCAGCAGCATCTGGAAATAATATTATTTGGGATAAAGCTCTCTTTTTCTGAAGAATTCAACTGAATTAGAACCTGATTTTTTCTCTTTACTGTCAGATCAACTGCTTTATTCAGAGGTTTTTCTTCTGAGCCTTGTTCTTAAGAAGAGATAATAATTGCGAAGTTAAATTCCATGAATATTCCTGGAAGCTACCCTGCAATATCAAACCCTGTGCATTCTAACTAATAAATATAATTGCTGGCACTATCCAAGCAGCTTACTTTGAAGATGAGATAGGTTATCAAAGCGAATTCTTTTGCAATACAGAGACTAAACAAAACCTAGTACAAATGGAGAAAAATGTTTGATTTTGAAAACTGCACAGACTTGCCAGAGGCTCCTAGGACAGTCTAAAGTCTTGCCTATGTGGTGAAACTCTCCTGCAGGACATTCCTGGGACAGTTATCTCAGCACAGTCACACCTTTACCAGATCCCTGTGTGTTTCCTGTTGGGGTGCTGCTCACTGTCACTGTGCAGGCAGCCCTGGAGCTGGGAGATGGTTCAAATGGAAACTGCTTGAGGAAGAGAAAATAATGCTGCTTGTGGTGGGCATCAAATGTGCCCAGTGCTTGGCAGAGCTGAACTGGAAGCAAAGGCAGGCTGGTAAGCCTGTCATTCTTATTTTAGCCCCTAAACTACCATGGGCTCTACTAACAGCTGAAGTGCTTCTGTATGGGTAGGAAACATAAGCAACTTTCTGGTGATTTTTAGTTCCTAATTACCTTCCTCTGGCCTTACTCTGTGCCAAGAAGTGGCACTGGAGCTCTAGTGAAGCAGCAACTGTGAGTGTAACTGCATCTGCAACAGTAGGTGGAGGATGAACATGGGATTCTTCACTCTTGAGCTGGAGCAGAGTGAAGTGAGGTGGAAGTGTCTTCCTTCTCCTTGCTCTGCTCTTGCCCTTGAGATGTGGGATCAAAACTCGGTTGGGTGGGAGGATGGTTCATGGGATTCCTTAACCTTCAGGCAACTCCTTAGAGCAGCTGCAGTCAGGAAGGAACCTCACAGCACTGCAGCTGGCTGTGCCCTGGGAGCCACCCCGGGCAGCCTGTGGAGACCAAAGGCTTGTGAACCACGGCCAGATTGCCAGACTCCAAAGTGCAAGGTCTGGGCATCCAGGCAGGACTTTTTCTTTTTTTCCCAAATGACAGCAATTTGCAGTCATTCACCTGCATGAAGAAGGAGCTGTGGCACACGGACTGCCACGACTCTGCCCTGCTGCCGTGCAGGAGAGGAAATTCCCTGGATTTGCCTTTCATCTCAGACAAGGACACGCCGTTTGAAGCGATCGCGCAAACCGCAGCTGGCACGGCCGGCCGGCGCGCACGCCGGGAGAGTTCAATAATTCAGCAAGCAAACCCAGAGCCAGCAGCAGACTTGGGCTCCAGCCAAGGCTCGGGACGTTGTCCTAGCATCAAAAAAAAAACGCCTCTGCTCAACAGCTTGAGATGCCTCTGCTCGGGAAAGCACCGTCTGCCAGGGGAAGGAGAAATCCTCAGCCCACAGGTTTCCTACTGCTCCAGTGGTGGGAAGGGGCTCATGTACCGATTCACACTCGTGTGGTGTGACCTTTCCCTATCTCAGCAGCACAAAGGGACTCAGAAAGCAGGCTGGCTTTTGCCAGAATATTAGGAAATGCTGCCGTTTGCCCTAGTCCACACAGTAACCACCATGGGTTTTATATTTTTTCTCCATTTTTTCCCTTGCTATTCTTATCCTTTGTTTTTTTTTGTTTCTTTCTTTTTTATTTCTTTTCTCTCTCTCTCTCTTTAAATAAAGTGTATTTAGTGCTGGTGAAAGGTGCTGAATTGGCAGCCTTGGAGATGGGAGTTCCCTTACCCAGCCCAAGAGAGCCCTGGGGCTTTCTCTGGGCTTTGTCCACTTGGCACCACCCCTGTGTAGGACAGCTCACAGGTCCCGGGCTCCCCTGCCCTCTCCCATGCCTGCCTCTTGCTGTGCTGGTTGGGACACCCGTGGCTGAACATGACTCCAACCTCCCTTGGGTGCCACTTGTCTCTCTGCCTTCGTTTAGTGCCTAATCCAGACCTGACCCCAAGTGCTTCAGTGCAGACTGATTGTCTCTTCCTTCGTGCTCTCTTTTACCTGCCTTACTAAAGTGCAAACAAACAAACACAGCTGAGCCACCCTGGGTGCTGCAGCCAGCTCACACTCAGGGTCTCAGAGAGGCAAGTGGGACACCAAACCCTTAACTTGCCCACTGGCCCCAAGCCAGGCTTTCAAGTCACACCCTAGAGGTGTTTGGCACATTCTCCCCTACCCCCAAACACCAACACCAACGTGTGCTACCACTTGACCAAAGGGAAACCCCTTTGCTCACCCATTCCCACCTCCCTCCCCCCTTTCCCCATCCCCACCAAGCTGTGCCAGCCTCCGCCGGGAAAGCAGGGAGGGGCAAAGCAGCCTGCTCCATCTTCCCATCCATGTTAAAAGTAAATGCAGCACCAAAATAGATACAAAAATAGAGTTTTGGGTCCATCGGCCCAGCTTCACTATTAATATTACTGCTATGAAATGTCTGAAAATAAGAGCTGCTCTCTCTATACACACCTGCCCCCCCCCCCCCCCCCCCCCGACAATATTGCCATACGCCCGGTCCTGTCTCAACAAGGCAAGAAGATGCCTGTTTTCTCTACATTTTAAATACAATCACTTCCATCCCCCCATTGTAAACAAACATGGCAGAAAGGGGTTTGGGAAAAAAAAAAAAACCAACACAAAACCAACCAAAAAAATGAAAGAAACCCTATTTTTAAAATCCTTCATGATTTCTAGCATTCTGAATAGCATTTCTGCCTCCTGGGACTCGAAGCCTGCCAGGTTGTTTGAAAGGACAGAAGGTACCTGTGATTTCTGATGAAGGCCCTGATGTCCTTCCTGTGTTTCCTTTGGAAGCTCTCTGGTGGGGATGAGAGAGATAATGTATTTGCTTTCCTCTGTGCAAAAGTCACAAAGTGTTTGATCGGCAAACCCATGACTAAAAAAAGTAAATATATAAAATAAACAACAACCCACAGCCTCTTTTTTAAGTTTCCCCATCTATCCAGTTTTCAAAGTGCAAAACCTAGAGAAGCATAGAATTATTTTCTTGAGGTGTTTGTCCCCTTCTGTTAGGGCTTTTTCCCCCCACGTGCTTGGCTGGTATGGCCTTTCTATAGCAAAAGTCAGATAAAGCATAATTGCGGTCGTTTCTGCACATGGAATTATGAATCATTCCAGTGACTTGAGAATCTAAGCTGTTAATAGGCTAAAAAAAAGGATTTTTTTTTTTTGTTCATCTTCTTTTTTTTTTTTTTTTTGATTGTTTTCTTTTTGCATTAGAATTAAGCATGAATATATATTACTATATTACACTGCTTGGATTGCTGGAGCGATCCAAACCTTCCTATGCTGTAAAACTAACCCCCACCCTTGCACTCCCCAGATCAAGAGCTTCTTTTCTCCTCCCTGTGCCAGTCACCCTCAGTTCACATGATTAAAAGTCCCTCCCAGCCCCCCCCTCCCCTTTTTTTTTCTTTTTTTTTTTTTTTTTAGTAGATATTGCCGCATTCTTAAATTCATGCATTGCTGCATTGCTATTGCACATATATAAAGGATCGCTCGCTCCCTCCCGGCTGCTCCCCTCCCCTCACTGGTTGTGCACGTCCTCTCTGCGGACGATCTTGTAGATGATCCAGTAGAAAATGTTGAAGATGAGGAATGCCATGGGGAAGCCGATGCGGGAGATCTTGTCGATCTTCTTGGCTCGCTGGATGAAGAGCTTCCGCATCTCCTCGGGCGAGCGCGACGGCGGTGGCACCGGGTTGGCCGTGTTGTTGTTGTTGGCGCCCTTGACAGAGATGCCGTCCTTGGCTTGTAGACAAGCTGGTCCCATCCCGTAGGCAGTGAAGTTGAACCTGCCCTCCCCAGCTTCGTCCTCCTGGAACAGATTCAGCATGGGACTCTACTTAAAATGAGATATAGACACTGCACCCTCGCTATAAGGCTCTCCGCTGACAGGGTCCTGCTCTGCACGGGAAAGGTGCTCCCACCACGCCCTGACCTCAGCACCCCTTGGACAAACCCCCTGCTCTTGGGAGTTCAGCCTTATAGAGGGGTGCCAGTTGTGTGATGCACAGATGCAAATCAGGGGATCCAGGCACCCCGTGGAGAACAGCACTGACTTCCACCCCACTGAGCTCTTTGACATATTGAAGGGTTTATGGCACTGCTTTAATTTTTCCAATTGCATCCCCTGTTTTGCTTCTGCCTCTCCCTCCCACCCCCCTCCTACCAGCACCTTCTTTGCTTTGCCTGTGCAGTTGCAGCTTGCCCAGAAGGAGTGGGCTCCATGTAACTCACGCAGTTGAAGCCACAGTGTGAGACTTCCTACAGAGTTACATGGATGTGCAGGAGCCAAGATTTGACCAGGAAAAGAGCTCTGCAGCCAGCGTGCAACCAGCCCTCTGCTTGCCTGCCCACGGGACCCCTCCAGCCCCACAGCCCTTCCCACAAGCCAACTTTTAGGTGAGGAACAGAAGTGCCCTTCTGTGGGTTGGTGGCAAGACATGGCTGCTTATGGTAGTGCCAATTATTAAGAAAAAAATGAATTTATTTTCCAAGTTAAAGGCAAATACTTTTTTTTTTTTTTTTTTTGGTGAAAGTCTTGCTGGTGTCTCAGAATGATTTAGCCCTGTTTTACTGAACACAGAGGTGTAACCATTACAATCCCTACGTGCCAGGACCTACCTACGTCTCCCCTTGTGCCCCAGTAAATATAGACAGCATAATGGGTTTGGAGAGAGCTGTCTAGCTGATCTCTCTGATCTAATCCAGAGGAAAGAAGGTAAGAGGTGGCTCAAAAAATGGAAAGGACCAAGTGAAACCTGGCAACAGATTGTTTGTTTTGTTGGGGTTTTTTAGAGAGGAAGAAAGTCTCCTAATGATGAGGATAAGACAGCACCTTGCATCTAACTGGCAAAAGCTAGAAACAGATTTTTCTGGATTCTCTGGTATTAATGCCAGCCCATGGCACAGTGTCTGGCACACTGAGCTGTGAAGAATAGCCAGTAGGTTTTGATGCAGACCTAATAAATATGGGCATGGGCTTGTCCTCTCCATAGCAGCCTCCACAAACATGGACCACTGCAACATCTCACTTGTTTTTAGTCTGGCATGTCATGCCTAAACCAGGCACAGCTACCCAGACAAGTCAGGACATCAGGACAGAGCAATTAGGCTCTTTGCAGCTGCACTAACCCATTTGCATATTAGCAGTCAGCTTTTAGTTTTCTGATGAGCCTGCAAACCTTGTTCATTTCGATTTTGCAAGTGTTTTTGTTTATGCTTTGTTCCAATTAAATTGCTGTGAGATTGGGCAGGGAGTGTACAAGCAGCCTTGTGTTCAATGGAACAGCTCTGGCAAATATCTCTTTAACTCGTCTGTGTATTAGTGGCTTTTTTTCTCTTTATTGTTTTATCAACAGACTGATCTGCATACAACAGCACAGATTCAGAGACAGGATGCCTGAATCCAGATGAAGAGATAAAAGAACTATGAGGCACCCATATGGGTGGCTTTAGCTTTGGCTCAATTCAATGGGCTGCACCTTCTGAACCAGAACTACCTCCACTGATTTTGGGATGGCAGGGCCTTGTTCTGGTCAGACAAAGTCAATGGGTGCTGATGATTTCATCTATTACTTCTTTTCCCTTGCATTTGTCGCATGCTTTTCCTCCATGGACCTGACTGTGTTGGGCACAAGTGAACAGTTACCTCCTGTTTTACACATCGGATGACTGAGGCAGAGAGAGGAAAACCTACAAAAAAACCCAGGGATTCCTGCTCCTCAGCCCCCAGTTCCTCCTGGAATGGTGGCAGTTCTCCAAGCATACACTGTGAACTACTACAGGACAGGGTAGACCTTGGGAAAGACTTATAAAGGCTGGGACAGTGAAGCAATGAAATGGAGGGAGGTCTCTGGATGGGATGGGTTGTGGAAGACTCTTTAAAATAGAGGGTAGACAACTACCTGCAAGGAATATTTAAGGCAGACCTTGGTGGTCACCTAGGGGCTCACTTGAGATTTTCATCAGCAAAATTTTCTTTGTTTTTTTCTTTCCTAGCAAACATACTGTTTTTTAATGATAACCTGAGGACAGCCTCTCAGGCTGAAAATCTGCTAACGCCTTCCTGATTCTACCAGTTAATTAAGGAAAATTTTTAAGTTTTCAGCCTTGTGATCACAGCCACCTTTGTGTTTCTTTCTAGTGTATTTTGTGAGGTGAAGTCTTTGCTGCGGCACCTCAGCCTAAAAGCCAGTAGAGCCCAGGCTGCAGGAGATGCATGTCAATGCAGGCACGCTCAGATTGGCATCAGTCATGGCAGGAAAGCATGGAGCGAGGCTAAGGCTGAGAATAAAGCTATTTCCTTCCAAGAGGAATTTGCAGTCAGTCTGAGAAGCAGATGCTTTTGAACACGGAGATGACAGAGACAAAAGAGGTGTCACTTACCTCCAGGCTAAAGCAGGCTGTCTTGTTGGGGGGATGCTGTTCTCTGATAGGCATCCCTCACACCTCTCTGCCTGCCTCCCCCCAGCCCTGGCTGCAGCTTCTGAAGAGGAGAACTCAGACTAAAACACTGCTGTGTGAATTGTTCTGTTGTGAACAACTCTTTTGGCTTAGACCACTTGGCTGGCTAACGAAAACCAGCCTGCTGGACCCCCAGTGTCAGCAGGCTGTTCGAACAGACACAATGCACTGAGGTAACCCTGGTTTTTGATGTGTGAGCCTCCCTAACATCTGATCATATACTGAGAACTTCCCTGGGAGCTCGTGGACTGGTTCAGATGACCATGGTGTTCTGCTGGGAGAGATTTCAGCTGTGTCCTTCATGCTTTATGTATTACCTTATGATGCCTCCTCTTCCTTCTGAACCTGAGCAGCTCTTTGTGCTGCCGAGACACAAAGTTGACGGCAGCGTATTCTAGAAGTGCAGAGAACACAAACAGCAAGCACACAGCCATCCAGATGTCTATGGCCTTCACATAGGACACCTAGGAGTCAGAAAAAGAGACTGAGATGGGCTGTCTTCTTCACTCAAATTCCTTTTTGTTGCCATTTTACGTGTTACTCCCAAGGTCTTTGGAAGGAGTTGACCAAGCTATGATCTGCCCTTGGATACCAGAATCTAGTTCATCTAACATGAATGTATTATCAGTTCACTGAAACTGTAGAATTATTGCTCCTTAAGAGACCAGGTGCAGTTTTAATTTGCCCATGTTTTGATTATGCTTTTTTATGTACAAGGAAATTAGTAATCCACTCTGATCATAATGGAGGCCCTTCATAAAGGGGAATTCAGTACTGTTATAAAAGTATGATGGTCAGCTTAATACAGAGCTAAAATGTACAGGGCATATCCATGTGGCTTGTTGCAGGGGTTTGTATGGTACAGTGCTCCTGGCTACTGGCAGCTGTGGTGAGTGCTGAATCTTAAGGGGAAGTTCTACTGCTAGTCATAGAGAATCTAGAATTTTTCAGGATGGGATTGGATTTTAGTCTGTTTGCCCTTATGTCTCTTGTGTTGAGCAGGAGGATCTGCATGGTGATTCACTTATATGCAATCCCCAGAAGGTGCATGTTTTGCCCCTGGTGAGGATAAATTTGCCCCCTACCTTGGGCAGTGATGCTCGGGAACCAGAGCTCTGTGTGGTCATAGTGAGCACTGTGGTGATCCCCAGGCCAACACGAGCTGGGGCAGCATCCATGTTGATCCAGAAGGAGATCCAGGAGAGAATGACAATGAGAAGGCTGGGGATGTACATCTGGATCAAGTAATAGCCCATCTGCCTCTCCAGGTGGAAACGAGCTTCTATACAGGTGAACTTGCCTGAGGAGGACAGGAGATGCATGGAAGATTACTGGTAAGGCACAGTGAGCCTCCTGATTTCAGCCAGTGTCTGAGGACTTTCCTTGCATTGCCTAGAACCAGAGTCTTGTTGGAGGAGGAAATGAACAGCTGTTGCCCAGCTCTGCAAGGGCATGTAGTGACAGGACAAAGGAAAATGGCTTCAAACTGAAAGAGAGAAGGTTTAGATTAGATATTAGGAAGAAAATCTTCCCTGTGAGGGTGGTGAGACCCTGGCACAGGTTGCCCAGAGAAACTGTGGTTGCCCCATTGCTGGAATTGTTCAAGGTCAGGTTGGATAAGGCTTGGAGCAACCTGGGATAGTGGAAGGGGAGTTGGAACTGGATGATCTTTAAGATCCCTTCCAGCTCCAAACATTCTGTGATTCTATGAACATTAACATAGCAAGGAAAGCTCTTGGCAGTATGTCCTTTGTCACTTAAGTTTCAAAGACAAAAGAAGATTCTGGGAGAGAAAATCTGGATCAAACACCCTTGAACTGATAGAGATGTTACTGGGGACAAGAGGATTTCACACATTTGTGTCCATTAGCTTTTCATTGGTTATATATGTGTATATTTCCTGGCAACATACCTATTTGTGTCTGTTGTCCCTAGATGTGTAGGACAAGGTTTGTATCAGCTGAGTGACATCAGACACAGCAAGAGACTCTGTCAAATGCACAACCTTAACTTCCTCTCTACTGAACCCAGCAGATAAGGGAAAACACCACTGACCTGTGTTGTAGTGCTTTGTGCAGTATCTCAAGTCTTTTTCTTCTTTGAGGATAAACTGAGGCAATGTCAGCCCGTCGGCAACTTGCACCGCTCCTTTTTCTTGCCACTCAAAGATGAGATCATTCATTGTGTAGCCAACTGTCGAGAGGAGGGGACAAACACCACGTGAAACACATTAAATACTGATCTGGAAAGGGACAGTGTTGTGCAGGAGATCTGTGCTTGGAGGCAGGGGCGTGTCCTGGCCTTCCTTGGCAATGCTGTCATGCATGGGATTTGGGTTGAGGCAAAACTGTTTGTGCATGTGATGAGAACCAAGGTGATGACCTGCAGTGGAGCTGCAATGGTTTGCAATGAATTGTCTGCAATAAATCACATTCTTCCTTGAATTGGGCTTTGCTGAATTTGTTTTCTACTTTTGCCAACTCGACCTCTTTCTCTGGAAGAAGCTCCTCGTCTTTCCCTCCTTTGGTATAAGCAACATGCACAAAGGGCAGATGTTCATCCAGAGACACAAAATGCAACTGAAAGCACTTTCACCTCTCTCCTCTGAAGTTAAAGGCCAGTGTAAATACAAGCAAGCCAGGGCTCCTTGCATAGGATCTTTTAAGGTTTGGCTTCTCTAGAAAATGTCACATGTGCTGAATGAATGGAAAATCCTGAGCAAGAGGTTCTCGAACAAGACCCCAGTGAAGGCTGGACTGGGAGTGGGTTGCACCTGGGAAAGGAGATGGCAGGGGAGGGGGGGAGGGAAAACAGGTTGTGTCCTCTCCAAAATGGGGATGTGCACAGGACTCACAGCTTTCTAACTGCATGATGCACGTCTGTACGTCCATGGGGAAGTTCTTCAGGTCCATGGGGCAGGCCAGAGTCAACGTGATCCTGAGGAGAGAAGAGAGCACAAGGCAATGCCAAGCAGTTTGTGGTACTGCTGAGGAGTGAACCCCCTCAGACACCCAGTGCTGCAAACAGGCTGGGACCTTGCCTGAGACACATTGGTGTGCTGGGGGCAGTGACTGATCATTCGCCACTTCCCTGCCTGTGTCCTCACACGTGGTGTTGGAAAGCATCAGAAATGCTGAGCATTTGGGTCTGTGGTACGATTCCCAGCAGAGTCGCCTGCTGCAGATGGTGTTTCATTGCAATGTTGTTTTAGACTGTGCAGAACAAAATGTTCCCACACCAAACAGTTCTGCTGCTTCGCTTTTCAGTTCTTGCCTCAGGTTCTCAACAGTCTGAATTAGCAGCAAATCCAAGCCCAATATATGGGCCCCCAGATACATTTACAGAGGCTGGGACTGTTTGTTAATATATGAATAGAACATTTGTGTGTCATCCCCCCCAAAAAAAAACCCACCAAAAAACCCCAAACAACCAAAAAGAAATTTGTTCAAGATTATATGCTTCTATGGGGGGAAAGAGAGACTTCAGTGGGATTTTCTGCAGGGAAAATGCCCTGTGCTAAGTCAATATGAACTTCTGTATCTTCCTGAATTCCTGCTGAGCCCCTAGAGGCCTCTACTTCTGTCTTCATTTTCTGCTAGGTGCAGCCTGCATTTTCTGTGGTATATTGCTGTGCTGCCCTGTACCATGATCTATGCTTAAAATGTTTCTTTGGTTCAACAAGCTGATACTGAATGATTTGCTTCAGATAGTTAGACTTGTGTTATTTGGTTTGATAATGTTGAAAATGCTGTTCCCTGAAGTGTTTAGGGTTTTCAGCTTTTTGCCTTGATGTAGAAATAGCAGAACTACCCAGGGGACAGAAACTGAATTTTTCTATCATCAGACCTACAAGAAACTTATCAGAGGGGAAAGATACTTTAATTTAAAAGCTTATAGTGGAAGAAATTCTCTGCTTGAGTTTAGAGGCATGTTGGGACAGAAGATGTGACAAAGTCCATCTTCCTATAAATGCCTTGCCTAGAGTTTGATTATTGCAAATAGCAGTAGCCAAGAGCCAGTTAGAAAATGCCAGAGCACTTAAGAGAGTTTTTTGGTTTTTTTTGAGGGGAATGACTATTTCTCCTTTTGGAAAATTTGCATTTACATTGTGCTCTTTCTTTTTCATTTTCGCAGGAAAATTTACATATAAAGAAACCTATATTCTCATTTGGACATGAGCGAGATAGCAAAGTTGATTTTTTTTTTTTTTTAAACAAGAACTGAAGCTGTTTTCAAGTTTTTGCCTTGGAAACAGTGATCAATTCAGCCATGTCCCCTGCTGAGTCATTGCTCTGTTTTGCAGAGCAAACCCTAGGGCTGGGGTGACCCAGTATTTCCTCTCTGTGCTCCTGCAGACCCACCTGGAACAGGACTCTGCACCATGCTCACTGCCAAGTTGCTGGTGGCAGTTTTACTACCTGCCTGGTTTTAGAAATTAAGAAATGTGAGGTTTCCACATTCAGCTGACACACATGGCAATTCTCTTATTGTTTTGGCCATCAGGGAGCTGGTCTTTGGGCTGGAACCACCTTGATGTTTGATGGAGGTTGTCTAAATTGCAGCATTAAGGTGTTTATTTTCCATTTTACGGCTCCACGGTGCTTTTTTTCTTCCCCATGGCTGCCACTGGGAACTGCAGTGTGAGATGGGGTGTGCGAATCGTAGGCAAATTTACATTACACATGAGGTGAAAAAGTCTTCAGTATAGAGTTAAACTTTTTCTGTGTATGCTCATGAAGTTTGATCTTAGTTTCACTGGTTTCAAATAAAGAGTGGATGGGGTCGGAAGTGAAGGTGGGGGATCAGATTGATTTTCTGCGGGAAAATCAGTGCAATTAGTTCAGCTCCACTGATGGATTCTTGGGTTTAGTGATAAAGGGATAACTGCAAAGAGTTAAGCTGAGACAAGGCCATGGAGCCCGACTTAGCATTTTCCCTTTTTTTTCCTTTTTGGTCAGGAAAGGCTTCAGTTTTCATGAGCTTCTACTAGTTTTCACAGAGCACAGTTGGTTTTAGGCTTGTGCTAGTATAAAATACCTCAAGTAATTTTACATTAGGGATGTTATGGAATCTACTAGAGAAAAGCCTAAGTTCTTGGACTTGGAAATGTAAAGATCAGCTAGATTCCTTCCCAGACCAACCCTCTATCTCAATATGCTTTGGCAGAGGTTCCTTCCCACCACATTGCTAATTGTGTGATCTCCCACCTTAAAACCTCCTAAATTTCTTTTATCCATCATCATGCTCTGGGCTTGAACAGTGGGAGTTCAGCCCTGTCCTTCCCGTGGGACTCTTCCCACGGAGTCACCTCACCTGATGCTGTAGAGGACATTGCCGTTTCGGGAGATCCTCAGCAGCTTGTTGTCAGTGGTAATCTCATGGAAGTGGGCCCCTTTCTCATTAGCAAAGAACAAGTCAGGCTTCCAGATGGAGTCCAGCATGGAGGGGTCCAGGTCCAGGGAGTCGTCAGGGTACTCGTTGTACGCCAGCCGTGGGTCGTTCCACTGCTGTCGCAGGAAGATGTTCACCCTGTAATCCTGCCCGGTGGGAACAGAGAAACACAGTCAGTGCTCAGGGCAGGCTGAAAGTGCTGAGAACTGGGGACCACCTATTAAAATCATTCTCAAAACCCAAACCACGTCCAGGCCCGGCTACGCCGAGCATTTTTGGCATCATTTCTCAAGGAACTGTTATCAATTTTTAGCTTTGTAGCTTAGAGCTATTTCATAGCATGAGCAGCTGCCTGTCCTTGCAACCCTCTGTTACAGCAATTGTCAGCTGTGTGTGAAGTGTCAGGACCTCTCGTCTGGACCCTGGGGCTGGAGAGGCCATGTGCAGTTGCGGAGGTCACAACAGCCCCCATCAGCAGGATGATGTTGCAGAGGATGAAGAGGGAGAGGAAACTGAAGCCAGTTTCCTTTCAGTGCTGAACCTTCTCATAATGTGACCATCCATGGTTTCCCCGGACTTGGGAAAGGAAAAGGCACTGCGAGACAGGCAGTCTATGGAAGGGAAATTCCTGTAATCAGATGAACTGACAGGAGCAGCTGCCTTTGGTGAGAGTATGTGATCATGAGAAAGATGTGCCTGAAGTCTGCTCTCCTAATGTTCAGTGAGTGTTCTGGGTTCCCCTCTCTAATTTCAAAATGCCATAAATGCTACAGATTTTATAGGATGGTCATCTTCTTTAATTGTAGCTAGTTCCTCAGCACTATGCAAAATTATACCTGCATCATAACCATGAGCCTTACAGCTCCTCTGAGTTCCTCAGGCCTAGGCTGGTTGCTGGGGCTGAGCTCAGACCCTCTCCTAGACAATTAAGGGCAGTTTCTGTTCTCCCTGTCTGACCAATATCTTCCCAGGGTGATCTGCGTGCCCCTTTTCTTCTGATTTTTACATGAGAAAGTGAGCCAACAAATTGAAATGGGGAGAGGATGTGCCAGCTATCAGGAGAGGGATAAAAGCTCCATGTCCATAAATTAATTGACATTTTCTAAGTATAGAGGCAGACTGAGTCTGAAGAACAGTCTGTAATAAACCCATTTCACTGCCCTGGCCCAAATGAATAGTTGCTCTCATGATTAAGGTTTTCTTGGGTGCCTTTCTAGTACTAATGTACTTTAAAGACCTTTATTAAGAGGCAATTAATGGAGGTTGTGTCTGATGTGCTTGCTGGTATCTATTACTTGCTGCAGGCACTGGGTGACAGAATCTCCCTGACTCTGCCACCAGGTCTGTTCCTTCCATCTGGAGAACACAAAGCTCTGGAGTTGAAGGGTGCATGTGTAGGAGAGTCTTTCTGAAGTCTCTACCTCAAGTGCTCACTTGACTATGAACCCACAGCCCAGGAGGGCACAACTCTTGCGTGTCCAGTCACTCTGGAGGGTTGGGAGAGGATTGTGTTGGATGCCTTGTGTTTTGGATGAGGCAGTTCATAGCCAAGCACATGGTCTAGAATCTGTTTCAGGCCACTTAGTGCCATCTGCGTCCTCAGAGCACAGAAGCTGCTAATGACATTAACGATTGTGACAACAGCAAATGAACCAAGCGCTTGACGCTAAAAGGAGCAGACCTCTGAACGTGAAAAAGAGTTGCAACACTCTTTCCTGATATCCCAGATGTCACCTTCACAAGTCCTAGTGCATCCCTCTGACTTAATTATTCATCTCTGTCGACCCTGGATGATGTGTCTTGAGAAAATGTGAATAGCTGAGGACAGCTGGGAGCCAGGGTCTCAGTGCAGGACCAGCCAGCGACGCAAGCCTGGAAGGGGAAAGTAAGCCTGAATTTCCATTTTCCACACAGCAGCTCCCAGAACAACGTGTATGTTTTCAATTCTCTCTTTTCTGCGTGTAAAGATCTGCAGCCATTGCAGTCAGGGGAAATCAATGTCACTGACCTAATAGGTAGAAAGCAAAAGGTTGTTTTGCTTATTCAGCTACAAATAAGGTAGATGCGAGCAGGTCAGCTCAAGTTTGGGACTTATGTCGTGTACAACACAAATTAAACTCATGTTTGGAAGAAACTTCAGCGGTAGCTGCCCAGAAGTGTGCTCAGCCTGATGGAGTGGTGGAAGAGGAGGGGGGAGGAATGGAGCCAATCTTCCTGCAAGAGTCTGTGTTACTCTGGAGAAGCTTTGTTGCTGGAGTAAATTCACTGAATCAGCTTCAAAACTTGCCAGAAGGTAATGAAAGGGTGAGACAAGAGGTGTAGTGTGGTTTGTGTTGCCACCACAGCAGGCATGAGAGACCACAGGCAGAATGACAGCCAGTAGTCTTCGTCACCATGATGAGGTATCTTAATTAAGTGCCATGGGCCAAATGAAAATTAACTTCTTACAGTAGGCGGCTGTGAGAAGGTCCCTCCTAACTCACCTCCAGAGTCAAGGTGTCCAATACTCATGTCCTACGTGGAAACAGTGCAGGGCCATGTAGTGAGCGTGTGGTGTGAGAGGCTGCACCACCTCCCTCCAAGGGGATGAGCAGCAGTGTGGTAACTCAGGGTTGTGCTACTCCGTGCTCCTCCTTTGGAGACAAATGTTTGTAGTGGACACTTTTTTGTTTTGGAATACAGATAACCAAGCATTTATATTATTGTATAAAAAAGGCAAGGACAAATAAATATAATACATGGACTGTGTGCAATTCTCTGGCTTTGCCGTTTTATGGCGTTAATATTTCACCTCTGTGTGTGATTTTATGAAGGTCTTCCTACTCAGTGAGTTTACTTCATAGTCCTGGCCTGGCCACTGGGAATGTTGTTTTCTCCCAGATGCCTTTTCCCTTATGTCAGCCAGCTGCATCACACTGGGGTATGGACAGTTCTGAGCAGCCTTTTAGGTTTGTTGTGCCCAGGCTTATTTGAACATAAATGTAACACCAAGCAGTGTGGCTGCAAACTGGACATGACAGTGCCTGAGGAGCCAGCAGAAGGCATGGAGAGCAATTGGGGTATGTCTGTGGCTGTGACACAGCCTAAGAGAAGGGTTACAGTACTCTGCACCAGCTAAAGGACCCTGTGTGCTGAAAGCTTTGTCCTGGGCACTGCAGAGAAGCTGAGGGGTGATGAGCCAAACAATACTCATTTTCTGGCTACCTTGAGATATGCAGCATTTCTCCTGGATGCTGCTGTATGAGATCTTAATTAGCATCACCAAGACGCCCACAGTTATTCCTAAATGATGGACACAATGGACCAATTTATGATGTGAACTTTCAAGCAAAGAAAACAAGAGGTTTGACTGGGTCTGCAAACTCAGCCAAAAAAAAAAAAAATCTCTTTCTCCCTATCCTTCTTACGACTGGAGCCCCTCATTTGTGTGCCAATCACATCCAGGCATTGATTACCTTGTGCAGCCTGCTCCTCTTGGGAGTGGGGAGCAGCAGCTCTGTGCAGTGAAGGCATTCAGGAGCTCTGCAATTTGGCACAGAGGCATTTTACTCCCAAGGGGGAAACGACACAAGGCAGGAAGAAAAAAAAAAAAAAACTGAAGTGATCAAAGTAGTTCAATTTGATAATGCTGAAATGAAATTCTGCTTAGTGACCTCGCAAGGAGACGAGGAAACAGAAGATCATTTGAGACCTTTCCTTCCCAAGATCCCACAGCCCTGGCATCTGCTGCTGGAAGCAGTGGCAGGCTGGAGGCAGTGCTGCAGGAGGGGATGGAGGCTGTCAGCAAACTCAGGAGGTTTCATCCCCTGACTCAAGGATTCTGTCAGAGCAGCCTCTGCACTGAGCAGTTTTGGTGAGAGGCTTCCCTTTGATAAATTTACATTTTGCTGATGGAAAAATTAGGGTGGAGACTGAACTCCCTCAGAAGGGGATTCTGTGATCCCACCTGGGCAGAGCATAAGGGGCTTTAGTAGCACTGAGTTAATTCTCTAGAAAGGGAACAAGCAACCATCTTCTGCCTTGCAAAGAAGCACTACAGCTGTCCACAAAAACGAGCACACCAGGAACAGCCCTTGGAAGGGTTAATATGTTTAATAAGGTTAATAATTTATCCTTAATTTATCAGAGCTGTAGCAAAGTAGCCAAAATGAAGCCTGGTGTGAAACCACACCTAGGCCAGAGGGAGGAGGTGCCCCTGAGGAGGAAGTCAGAAGAGGGCAGTGCCTGCTGAGGGGTGGGAGGAGTACCCTGGTACTTAAGAGGTGTGGGTGTTTTTTTTTTTGTGCTGGAACCCAAAGCAGAAAGATTTTTCTGTGTCTTCCTACAAAAGGAGGGGAAAGTTTATCTCTGCGAGCCAAGGATGGAGCTGCTGGTGAGTGAGTTGTATCCAGCATCCTGAATTTCAAGTGTGTTTGGTTGTGAGGTTTTGTTCTTCAGCTCGAGGGTTTTTGTGTCTCCTTGGTTTTGAGTTGCCTAGTCCCATTTCAGGGCTTCTTTTTTTTTTTTTTCCTCCCCTCCCTTCTTCATTCAATGCAAAGACAAACTCCAGCCACACACACAGCTGAAGCACTGCAGCTCCAACAGTGAAATGGCAGCAGGCTGTGAGTTGTTGTGAAAACCTTCTCATTTTGTGCTGTGTGACTTGCTATGTGCTTATCATCTCTGTGGGACTGATGGCTGGGTTTAAGAATGACTGACTGCGGAAAACTTGGCTCAAAACCTAACCTTTGCTACAGGCTTTGTGCACTGATACTCACATTTTTTGCTGATATTTGGGTGAGTGGGTTGGTATTAAATGTGTGACCCGTTCACTTCATCAGACATATCTGCTGCACTGTGGCTTAGGAGGCTGGAATGAATTGCATGGTTTGCTTTGCAGGATGGGTTATTTTCTTGTTGGAAATCTCATGTACAGTTGCCTCTGAGCAAATACTTAAAGCTTGGACAGTTGCAGCCTCCAGCTCCTCCTGTCCGTAGGAGATTCTGGGAGCCCAGTTGTGGCTGTGTTGCAGCTGGCTGGAAGGTCACATTTGGTTTGCTCTTTTCAGATGAGATAACTATGGCATGAAAGCAGCAAAAATAAATTTGCATATATGTGCTGTGTCTAGGGGAGCTTGCGCTGACTGGTTTGTGATTTTTCTTTTTCACTCTCTAGTTTGCTGCATGTTGGTCCTTTTTAAAACATGGGACTGGATCTTGAGTCCAGCTGGAACTCTATGTGATGATATAAAAAAATATTCCTACTTCTTCATCTGCATTCATTGTGTATAAAATATTCCCAACTGCCTGGGTTGGTGAGAGGGACATAAAATTGGAGCTTCCATTGGAAGAGAGAGCCAAGGGCATCACTTAATTTTAAGTTTGCTGTTATAGCAGGGAATTTGTCAATGAAATGCTCAGATAATCCTACCAGTTGTCTCATGCTACAGGGAAAAGCCAGAGCTGGCACAGTTTATTCACTTAAAACCAAGACCTGTTCTGAGGTGCTTGAGTTCTGTTTGTTTTGAATGAGAAATTTGTATGTCTGCTATAGATTTCATGGTCTGGTATGACTTGGGGGGGGATTTGGTTATACTTTTGAAGAGCAAAAAGGGATTTAACATCTTGTGATTGAGGGTTGTTTGGTGTTTTTAATGAAAATACTTGGAAAGAGTGGATGCATCTTGCACTTGTCCTTGGGAATCCCTTGCTATTGGATGCACTATTGCACTAATGCTTTAGGACAGGAGTCTGCACTTATCTGGCTGTTGTGGTTGGTCATATCTTTCCCCTGGAAGCACTGGTTGGGTTCACAGGGATGTGTTCCCAGTCACAGGTTCCCTTGTCCTTAGAGCTCATGGCAAGTGAGACTGATGGATATAAGCTATGAGCTGCAATCTAACATAAATGTCCAATCAATTATGTGCACCACTAGAGGCTTTTATGTCTCCAGTTCTCCAGGATTCTTAAAGGAGTTACTTCTCTAAGTCAGGTCTGCTTTAGGAGTTGTGTTTGCTGGATGGCTTTTTTTTTTTTTCTTGATTTCCTCTAACCTTACAGGAGTTTTCAGATCTCCATTTCTTGCCTTGTTCCTCTTGAACCTTTCTGGGGCTTTCTGCCCACTGAGTGGAGTCTGTGCCTTCTCTTGGGCCCCAACTCATTTTTTACTTCCTTCTGAGGTTTGTAGACACAAGTGGCTGTGTCAAATACCTGGTTTGTTCTGTTTTTCTGTATTTTCTCCTCTCCCTTCCAATCATGCCTTAAGCTGTGAGTGAACACTGACCTCCAGTTTCTCTAATCCTCATGGTTTACACTGCTTTGTGATATTCAGGCATTATAAAGTAAAATGGTACCAGTGGTACTTTCTGTAGGATGTAACAGCCCACTAAGGAGATGTTTTAAAGCCTTCTCCAACTGCACATGTGATATCCATAAAAACCTGTGGCTTCTCTCACAGGTAGTAGAGCAATAGTTAAATGTAGACTGACATAATACCCTGACCTGAACCTAACCAGGCCTGATGATGGGGGTTTAAAACATAATATTCTTTCTCTTTTTGGCCAGTGAAGCAGCTGGGGGAGTTTTGTCATCATCAGTCACAGAGGTCATTGATAGACTACAGCTTTCCTTGTGGTAAAACATTGATTCGCTCTCCTCTCTCTTCTGCAAACTTCCGCCCCTCCTCTCCTCCCCCTGGTGCTTGACCACAAGTTCCACTTGTCTGAATTCAAAGTAGCCAAGTCTGTCCCAAAATCCCTTCACAACAGGACTGTCCGTTGTTCCCAGAAACGGCACTGGGGAGCGGACGGTGCCTGTTTGACCTGCTGCATCCCCAAACAGCGGGGAGGGGGCTGGCTTCTCTGCAGAGTAAGTCCCAGATTACGAATCCCAAGGACCTCTCTGGCTTGCTGAGACCTCCTTTTTAGATGTTTCAGGACCTGTGTTGCTTGTGTTCTGGTTGGTGTTTACAAGCAGAACTGCTGTTCCCTGAGAAGAGCATCGTATCAGGCTGTGTGCAATGCTGTGTCAGCCTGACATCTGGACTAGCTTGTCAGAGCTGCCTTGGATATTTCTAGACAAAGCAATGTGCCCAGAGGGTGTTCTTGGGTTCCCATGGGAATTTTTTTTTTTTCTATGGAAGACAGACTATAAAATGAGTGGCATCTGGAGAGGATAGCAAGTCCCTGCAGCCTGTCTTGGAGGTGAACTGCAGCTCTGGCTCTCTCATGCTAGTCTATGCTAATTTTATGAAGCATCCTGCTTACAGGGATCATGTGGCATCTTTGTATGACTGCTCCAGTGCACCTCACAATGTAGGACATATGCACTGAAAAACATGTCAATGGAATGTGCTCTGTGCATCCCACAAGGATCCTTTGTGGGCCTGCCCTGCTCTTTTGCACTCTGGAGCGTCTCTACTGCTCATGTAGGAACAGTATTTCTTGTCTGTAAGGCCAGAGGAGATATCCAATAAAATAGTAAATTAGCAGCAGATGTGTATTTCAGCTCTAGTTCTTCCTTTTTTGCTTTATATAAAACGAATCCACAATGCACTTCTTGCCTATGAACTCTGATAAATTCTGCAGTCCAAGTAGGAAATCTGTTTCCTTGTGCTTGGACAGAATAAGAGTGGTTTTTTTTTTTTTTTTCCTACTACCAGAACTGAAGTACCCCCAATGCAAACCCTTCCAGCTGAATGGTATGGTGTTAGAAGAGACTTATAACCCCAGGTGAATGGCTGTGGATCTCCTCTGACAGTGCTGTGCATGCCAAGTAATTTGTTCAAGTCGAGGGGTGTGATCTATATATAAAGCCCATAAACTCCTGCCCCAATGCACAAAATGCCTGAAGCTGGAGCCTTGCATTCCTCATTCAGCATTTTTCTAGAAAAAGAATTACCGAAGGGTAATTAAACAGCATATTTCTGGATTATCTTTAATTAGCACAGCAGTAAGGCACTGTACCTCCAGAGTTTTCCTTTGCTGTTCACTGATTATGTCACAACCAATCTTTAATAGTCTTCAGATGGAGCAATTATCTCCTGTTCTAGTGATCCTCTGCTCCTAGTGCCTTGCCAATTACATACAGCCTTTAGCCATGCTCACTAATTTTGTATGAAGCGAGCCTTAACTCACAAATATTGGTTTTGATTTTCTATTAAAAACCATTTTCTACCAGAAATATGTCTCCAAGAAAATAATCGTCTTAATCTTCAGTCTAATAATTCTCCTAAACTTTGGGAGTCTGAAATATGGTGGAAACTAAATTTGAGTTCAGCTGATTTTTTTCCTTCTCTTTGAATCCAGATTCGTTCTGGATTTATGCCCACTTAAACACAAAGTATCTGCAACTGCCTCTGAGCTTGGGGCCTCAGGCAAGTCTTCAGAAAAAGACTATTTGTTTCCCTTTCTGACCATTGTCCTTTGCCTGTGCAGTGTTTTTGTGAGACGCAGACAGAGGCTCCGTGATCTTCAGCTACGTGCAGTGTGAGTCTTGTGTGTTGACCATTAATTTACTCAAACTTTAGGTAAGCTTGGGGGGCACTGAGACAATATTTTTCCTGGTCACACCAAAGAGGAGGGTGATGCTGCATTTTCTGGGAGTGCAGTGAGGCTGAGCAGCTGTGCTGTGATTTTTACTTACCATAGTTGTTTCTGCAATCGAGCCAAAGCTGTTGATGAAAATGTTGCAGCTGACGTTCACTGGCGGGCCTGCATGACAAGTACAGATGGGAACAGCAGTTCAGTGTGTGCTGTAAGACAAGGTATTTCCACTCTGTGGAGTTAAAACCTAGTGTGGGGAACTGGGTGACTGAGAGGTAAGTAGGGGAGTAAGGTCTGGATGACCTGGCTTGGTCTGGTCTTGGTTCTGATGCCAGTTTGACAGCAGAGAGTGCTTTTGCTTCCTCTCTGTTCCCCTGTTTGGAAGAATGTTTATATATCTCTGCTGTGAACTGTTCAGACGAAAAGGAGTAGATCAGAGCCAGGCAGCACAGCTTTCCAGATATCTTGACCTGGCTGTATGGGTGGCAAGCTCACCTTGGATGTGTTAGCAAAGTATCCCAGAAAACAGCTGAGAGACTATTGACTTTCATTTAGAGCTTACTGATGAAACAGTCATATGAAGCACCTAAATGTTCCTGAACTAGGATGATGTGCTCCCCACGAAGGCAGTGGAGCACAGTGTGCTGTAAGGGTCAGGCTGGCTGAAGGAACAGGTACTCCATGAGATGATGGAGGTGTCTGCTAAGGCTCACAGCTGCATAGGAGACTTCAGGGCTCTGCCAGCAGAAACTCTCTGCCTGTCCTGGTTTGGCAGAGGGTTCTCCCAGACTCTGGGCTGTGCCTCTCCTGGGCTTGATTTGCTTTCAGCAGCTTTGCTTAGCTGCTCATTTTGGGAAAGGTAAGGGGCCAGGGAGGGTTAAAGGGATGAAAAAATCATGGTTAGAGGTCGTGGGGGTCACTCTGTTTGTGTGGTGCTGGTGCTCAAAGGTATCATCAGTATGACTTGGAAGTGTTTCATGATATTGCCTGGCAAATCTGAAGTGGAAGTGTTGCATTTACACCGAGGAAGATGCCAAGAGCTGCAGTTCGGGACAAAGTGAAAAGCTGGAGGATATTTTGGAACCAGAGAATAACTAGTGCCTGGCAAACCAGTGGCTTGCTCACATATAATGAAAGGATTTTTGTAGAGCTTTAATAAGGGGAGGGGAGAAGGGAAAGGGGCCTCTGCTCTGAGAGCTCCCAAAGGACCTGCTGCAGGTGCTGCCTGATGTGCAGTGGGGAAAGGCAGCTCAGGCAGAGAACAGACACTGCCCCAGGGACCAAGATCCCCACCTAACACTGGAGGAATTAATTTCATATCATCCCTGTGACAGATGCTTCTGGAAAGATAAGATCTGTGAAAGTGGAGAGTGTGGATTTTTAGATTATTCCCCCCCCCCTTCTTTATGGAGTCAGGGATGGTGTCTGCATTTCAAACACTGCCTGGTGGCTCAGCCTGCTGGGGGAGTGATGCTCCTGTTAAGGTCACATCTGCAGTCTGGCACTCGCTGCAAGATGAAATACTGGAGGGGGAGGATTTGTGCCTCTAATCAGTGCAAACGTCCTCCTGTGTGGAAATTAATGGATTTTCCTGATTACTAAGTAACATTTGGAGTTTGGTTTTCTCATCTTCATTTCCCTTTCCTCCTCTCCTACTTTGGCCTCTTCTGAAACTTTGTGCCTGTCCCCTGTGGGATTAGGATTGCAGCCACATCTCTGTAACGCTCTCTGGGTGGGATTTTCTTGGTACAAGTCCCAGGCAATCCAGGCAGGCTGCTGTCTAACCAGCTCCCAGAAAACCAGTGCCAGCTCAGCAGCATCTCTCACTGTTCAATCTGTGCAGCTCTTTCTCCAGACTATTAAACATTGGCATGGGTTAAACTATCAGACACAAAATTATATATATATATTTTTTTTTCCCCTTCACCAATCAGTTTTATCTGAAAGCTTATCCAGCAGCTGAAAGCACACAGTTTATCAGGCTTTAGCACTTGTTTTATCCCTTCTGTAGTGCTCCTGTTGAGCTCAGGAGCATTGATTTTCTATTTTGGATCCGTCTCATGAACCACATGGAAGGTCCATGTGCATGTGATGTGATTCCCCTCCCAAAGGGCATATTATAAGGAAAATACTGAGCTGATCTTCTGGATGACTGAACGTGTTCATGACTCTGACAGGCATGGAGTATTTTGCTTCTCCTGTTCCTGGTGCAGTGCTGACATGAAGTTGAGTGTGGGGTGAGTTTGGCCCAGTGTATGTGAAGACTCTCCTTGGGACAGCTCCTGTGGGGACACTGAGCCCTCTCCACCACGCCCACGGGCATCCATGAGCTCTGTGCAGGATTTGGGTGGGTTTTTTTATTTTTTAGCTTGTGACAGGCTGTAGAACATTCCCTGACTACCACTGGAATGTGCCAGCTCTGCAGTGGGATGCAGCTGTGAGGGGATATAGTTTTCCAGCAGCAGAGTTGAGGGTACAGCCTGGGTGAGGGTCCCTTGTCCCAGTGCCATGTTCTGCTCTGTCCCTGCCTGAGTTGCTGACCGCATTCTCCAACTTAAGCCAAAGGTGCTTCTTCCTTGTTCTCGGAATGTGAATCCACAGCTAAGTCCAGACTTTACAGAATTTATGGAAAAGCTGCAATCTTCTTTTTGTTAATCTTCCCCTCCCCAAAAATCAATCTGATATGTATCTTTGGTATTATTTTCATTTGGATCTAAGCAATTAAAATGTCCTTATGAGTTACTGCAGTTAATTTAAATGATGTGCTTTGAGAGCTACAACCCCAAGCTCTGTAAAACACCTCCTATTCCTCCCATATAAATTGGAGCCTGATTTATGTGTGGGAGGCTAAGCCAGCAAAACTGCCCTGTGGGGAAGGTGTAGTTCATTGAAATAAAACCAAAATTAAATTATCTCAAATAAAAATGCAATACAGCTGCCTTCAGCAGGAAGTTAATGTATACATTTCATTAAATATTAAAGTTTAATTTGTGTGTGTGCATAATTTAGTGGTAGGCAGGTTTACAGGATGGTGTTTTAACTCTTTGTGATTTGGATAAGAACAGCAGTGCTCTCTGTTGCCTGGTTGATTACTGGGGCATAAGGTTCCCACCTTTTTTTGGGTTTAAAAGCCCAGTACAGAGCTAATTGTTTGAAGCTGGGTGGCAGGTGCTGTCATGTGATTAATGGGTCCTGGGAGTCCTGTGTTAGCACTGCCAGTGACTCCAGGGAGAGGGGGAACTGGTAGTAGGAAAACAAAAGAACTGAACGAAATAAGCACTGAAGAGGGCTGGGCAGTGGCTGGGGGAGGGGGAGCAGATCCTGCTTTGTCTCTGTGTGTGTTTCAAGGCCAAGTACTCGGGGAGGTGAGCTCAGTTAAAAAGAAAACAACAAAAAACATAGAGTGGATTGAGTTGGAAGGGTCCTTAAAGACCCTCTAGTGCCAACTTCTCTGCTGTGTGCAACCTTCCACTAGGCCAGGTTGAAAAACCCAGCAAAAAAACCCCAAAACCAAACAAAACAAGCCACAAAAACCAACCAACCCCTGGAAAACAAAAACAAACAAACAAAACAAAACAAACAAACAAAAAACCCCAAACCAAAACCAAACCCTGCCCCACTTAGAATAGGTGTTTTGAGGACCAAAGAGAGGATCTGTTGCCTCTGCCAGAGCTTGATTCAGTGTTGTCTGGCTACCAGTAAATACGTGGTAGACTGGAAAAATTAGGTATGAAACAGTGGAGCTGTGTTGGGCTTAATAGTTCTTTTACTATGGGGGACAGGGATGGGTCTGAGCTGCCCCTGGATTTTACTGAATTTCTTTGGAGCTGATGGGAGAGACTCCTCTTGGCTGCAGTGGGTGTAAGGGGGGGAACATTGCCTGATATTAGATATTAGGGCCAAATATAATTAAGAACACAAGGATTGTTCATATTCCATATACAATTAGGGAGGTATTCAGGAGGATTGCATGCAGTTTTCAGTCCCAAAATGAAGCAAAGCTGTTTTTTTTCATACCTTTAAAATTTGGTCTGATCCTGGCATCGTATCCTGAAGTTCGCCCCATCAACTTGTCCAAGAAATCAGAAGGAGACATGGGTTTGGGGGCAGACCGTGCTGCTGCTTCCGCTTCTTTGGAGGCTGCCAGGCTGTGTGAGTAGAAAGAAAGAGGAGGTTTTAGAGTGCATCCCATACTGAGGAGGGTTTGGGGTCCAGAAACAGAGCAGTCAGCATCTTATTCCTGCTGAGGCAGGATGGGCACCCATGTGAATTCCTAATGAGGCTAGTCTCGGCTAATTTGTTTGCCCAGCCCAAACATCTCCAAATACAGAATCCCAGCTGCCACCAAAGTAGAAGAGAGATGATGAGTAGTGAAAATCCTTTTGTGAGTTTAGGTATAGCTCCTTGGTGTGCCACTAAATTACAAATGTGAACTCTGGCGCTGAGCTCCACAGGTAAAATACACTCTGAGATTAGCCTTGGGCTGCAATTACTGCTTAATTACATGGCAAATAGCAAGGAGCGTATTCGGTACTCCGACAGCCCAATTTTCCAAAAGGCAGGTAGGATCAGAGCAACCTGGAATTTGAGGTTTAAATGAGCATCATGTGATGGTACAGCTCGTGCAGGGCCTTTGGAACTGTAGGGGAGAGAAGTTGGTTGTGCTTCCCACTTGCTGATCAGTCCATCATTTGCTGTTAGTACCTGCAATGCAGGGTCTGAGTTCAGCTCAGCAACACAGTCTGTGGACTGGGAGGTGCCTGGATGGGGATCCTGAAATCACATTCATGTTGGGTTAAGGATGAAAGGAAATGGAGTGGTTTTGGGACCTGTATGGCCTCTGGGGCAGAAAGAGTGATTTTTCTGTAGAAGATGAAAACCTGTGGCTGACAATGTTCTTTTTGGCTCAATGGGAGTCTGCAGGGTGATGATTTGGGGCAGGGTGATGATTTGGGGCCATCTACACAGGAAGAAGTGACCCCCCTGGTACTACGTGCTCATTCTCAACTTCGAGGATGGTTTGACTTCTAAGACAGGAATAGACACTATTCAGTTCCCTCCCTTTGGTTATACAGCTTCTACTTGAACACCAGTCTGTCCCCATGCTGAAAGTGTGGTGTCAAATTGCCTAGATTAGCCAAAGGAAAACAACTCATGCATTGTGCTCAGGGCAAGAGCTGTCTCTGCCTGTGGGCTCAGGTGCCTGATGCTGGTTAGAGCCTGCAGGCAGGATTGCAAGACAAATGCATCACGAACCAAAGGAAGCTGCTCAGGAGGAAGTGAGGCTCATTGCTTCACACTTTGCAAATCTCCTGAATTTTTTTGAAGTGCAAAGGCTGTGTGGGAACAGTGAGGAGCCACCGACAGAGCAGCTGGGAGGCCTGAGAATGTCTGCAACAGGTAGAAGATATTCAGCTACATGTGTCCTCACAAGTGACACCATGGAGTCCCCTTACAGCATGAGGCATTCCCTGACCTTGGGACGTTTTTGCAGTAGTCAAACCTGATGTTTTTTGAAGAGCAGTGCTAAGTACTGACACAAGGTCCTTAGGGAAGAATTTGGGACAGTGACTGTGCGTTGTATTAATGTGATCCTGCCCTCAAAGACCTGTTCATCCAATGCAAGTTTGAGCTGAGGCTCCAGAGACACAAATGTCCTGATAAGAACATTTTGAGCCATTGAGGTCCTCAGGAGTTTTAAAACTGAGGGGATTCAACAGTGCTTGGGTGCCATAATTTCAAAATCAGGAATCTGGTACCCTGCATTGCATTGACTTTCTTTTCCAGTGTCAGCAGTGATGGCTTGCCAAGCATTGGTTTTCAGTCCTGCAAACTCACAACTGCAGTCTGGCTTCTTTTGTGAGCTGCAACAGAGTTCTCTGATTACTAGGTTTTTAACCGTTACAAATTGATTAATTTCCATAATGAAGAGTAAAGATAAATTCCAGGCCACTTCCACTGAGAGTCTAAGACCAGGATTTCATTCATATATTCACAATCCACTGCTACACTGGCCATGTCTGAGCAGGCTGATGCACACTCATGGTCAGTGTTGACCTGACAAGTTGTGGATCTCGCTTTTACTGCAGCCACTGTGCCCTTTCTTATCTTGTCCCTATCTCTGCTCTAAGGAACTATACAAAGCACAAACCCCGAGGTGTTTCAGGGGTAAATGGGGTTGTGGAGTGGTTGGTGGTTTTAATTTAATTATTTTTAGGAGGAAAGCAATGGGGTGCAATTGATTTGCAAATTCAGAAGAAAGCTGGGGGTGGGAGGACAATCAATACTGGGCTCAGCTCAACTGCTGCATTCCAATGGAGTGTCTGCATGGCAATGAGTCCAGAGAAAAGATTTCAATTAAGCAGCAAATGACTTGGTAACCAAAGACTCCTGCCACTTCAGCAACAAGATGCCAGATAGTGCAATACCCTGATTTTGTCTCATTAACTGTAGTCTGGAGGAAGTATATGGAAATGGAAAAGTTGGAGGGGGGAGGGAAGAGGCAATACAAATCTAATAAGCATCTAATAAGCTTTAAGTGGAAAAAGATAATTAGAAACTGCAATTCCCCTGGCATTTGTTTTAAAAATGAGGTGAAAAGGCAAAGAAATGGGTGCTGAGCTTTCCTGTAAATTCAGTGTGAAAACCTGTACTGAATACATTCACTCACAATGAGTGAGTCTGTTGGTATTTTTGGGGTATCACTTTCTGATTCTTTCCAAATCAAAGTTGCAAGTAAAAGAATTTGATGGGCTCAGTTCCTTCATGGAAGTATTTATTAGGATAACTGAATCCCAGAAGCATCTGGGGAGAGACTCAGACTCTCACAGCCCCACTGCTTTCTGCAGCTTCATGCCCATCTCTACGAGCAGTTCCTGGGAACACCTTTGGGGAGGTGCTTTAATTGTCAAACCTGGTTTCATGCCTCCTAATAACCATTTTTAAATCTGTTTGTCTGCTGTGTGTTGTTACCCAGGTGACCTGGGAAGGATGAGTTCTGGGTTTTGTCTGGTTTCTCTCTGGATACTGGATGTTTTCCTGGTAACAGCTTCCCCCTAGATTTAACAAGAAAAGGCAGGGGATGAGGGAGTAGCAAAGCCTTTCCAGAGCAGGCATATGAGTCAACTCTCTAGCTTAGAAGAAATAGTAAAAAATACCACTGGGAACTAGAGAGAGGCTGGTCCACCCCAAAGTGCTTTAGATGGATGGTTTCTCTCTAACAGAACCCCAAAAATCTTCACTCTGGTTGTGACAACTGAGCTTTGCAACGGCAGCTTAGCTCAGACAGCACCCAGAAAAGCTCCTAGCTTCTGTTCTCTTCCAGGTCTGTCTAGACCAGTGCTGTGGGCTGCCTTGGGAGCTTTCTGGGATTTTCTTCATGCCTTTACTTCATGCAGAAGCACCCTTGAAAGTCCCACAGGACCCTTCATCTGCTGGCCCAGCAGAGGCAGGGAGAGGGAAATTGCCAAGTGACTTGAAAATTATTGACAGGAGAAGGGAATTGAAAATTTAGAGTGGGTTGTGGTGGTGTTCAGGGAGAAGATTGATCCTGTGAATAAACAAAAGGAGGCAAAGCATGTAACAAAAGCACCGAGGCTGTAGTTTGCATTGGTGTAAGAGTGTTGTCTGAGCTGGGCGTCTCGGCGCATTTTAATAGCAGTCAGACAGCGGCTTATCTTATTTATGCTGGTGTAATCCCTAGTGGATCTGGCTGAGAAAGTGCCATCAGGCAATCATCACAGCCACTACAGTGGGAAGGATCTCTTCAAAGGGTCGATGAACTAGCATAATCTTTTGTGATATTAATGCTGGCGTGTAAGCAGACACCAGAAAGCCCCCAGGAGGTCCAACCCACGAGCAGGATAGGAAGGTGAAAGCTGATGGAGAGGAGCAGCCCGGCTGCTCAGGATTGCACTCCTTAAAACAGAGCAGTCAGGCTTTGCAGGACACCTACCTCTGGTTTCTCTCAGCCTATACAGGCACTGTTTACTGTGCATTTTGTTTCATCTTAACAGATGATATATTCTGATAAACAATTATTTGGTTTAGAAAGTGGCTCTTCTGCAGTCTGGACATGTCTGTTTGTTCAGGTCCTGGCTTCCCAGTTGGCTGTTTCTCCTTCTCCTCTCATTTGTATGGTCTTTGTGCATCATTTTCATGCCTTTTTTTTGGGGGGTGTGCCCATGGTTGTCCATCTAATTAAGTCCAACATCACAAACTGCCCTGTTCTGGCTGAATGCTGATACTAAGAAATAGATTTTTTTTTTTTTTTTAGTTTGCAAAGAGGAATGCTGAAGGAATTTAATTAGCACAGGGCCTCTATTCCCTGGTCAAATAATTTAATTGTTAATCATTAACTGTGGATGCAAAAAAAAATCATGTCTGGAAGCAGAAACAAACTGTTACCAAACAAGTGTTTGCAGAGGAAATATCTCTCTGCAAAGTGTGACAGGCTCAGGTTCCTGTGAAGGTAAAGTGGTGCCACATCAGTGGCTCGAGAGAACAGCACTGGGGTTATTTCTCTGGCTGGGCTCTCAACAGACTGAAGAAATAGAGATACCTAACCCCTTACCCTGGTTCAGTGCTGCTCAGCAAAGCTTTCTGTTGTGGTTTGTTGGGAGTTTATTTTGTTTTTGAAACGCAGCAAGCCAGAAAGCTTGGCAGGGATGTGTTGGGAATAGCGTTCAGGTGAGCTGCCTCACATTTGTCCTTCAAATGCCATGTATTCTGTAAGTAGATATCCCAGGAGAGGGAAATAGCCATCGGGTCTAAGGCAGGCTGAGGTGACCAGAATAACTGTTTCCCCTGTTACCTTTAAAGCCAGGCCAGAGCAGTGTGGGGGCTCAGAGACGCAGGAGGATTCATCAGCTCAGCTTTATTGACTTCAGCAGGCTCTGAGAGGTGCAGTTGTGAAGAGAGCATCAGATAGCTGGGCACAGAAAGGCATTGTGCTGCCCATGATAACTCTCTCCTTACTCTCCCCGAACCATCTCCTTGGTTCCTGAGCAGATAACTGGAGCTCAGCAGAGCCCAGCCTGGATTCAGCCTCTGCCAATGCTGGAGCTGCCTGTCTCCATCTTGTCCTGAGCAGCTGGAGAGAGGCAGGAAGGACAGACAGAAGATTGTCTTGGTGAGGCAAAAAGGGGCA